AAAAAAAAAAAAAATTGGGGTTTTTGAAACTTCCCCCCCCCCCCCCCCGGTTTTTTTTGTTGTTGTTGTTGTTGCTGTTTGTTTGTTTTTTTTGTGTGTGTGTGAGTTAAGCAGTGTGTTTTTAGATGGTATGTAATTAAAATTCGTGGTATCATTTTTACTTTAGAAGTTCTCTTATTAAAGAAACCTAGAGAAAGAGCAACTGTAGAACCAGGATGTATTAATAAAAATCAGCAGAGGAATGGTCTTGTGTAATGTTTCTTTGGTTGTCCTGCTTTCACAAAACTAAGTTCACCAATTTTCTGTGTAACCTAATAAATGGAAATATATTAGATTCATTTACATGGACTTTCCTTTTTAGATGTCTGCTCCAATGAGGATCTCCCTGAAGTTGAGCTGGTGAGTCTGCTAGAAGAGCAGCTACCACAGTACAAGCTAAGAGTAGACTCTCTTTTTCTGTATGAAAATCAAGACTGGACTCAGTCCCCACACCAGCAGCAACATGCATCTGATGACCTCTCTCCAGTCCTTGCTGAAGAAACTTTCCGTTATATGAGTAAGTATTTTTACCCTTTTTAGAGTTTGTCCATCATAATAAAAATCATGGCATTTGACTTTTATCTTGGCATTGACTTTTAAAACATTTGACATGTGGTAGCCATTGTTCAGTGTATACCTACTTTAACTTGAAATGATTTACAAGAAGGAGATGATTCTGCTATGTATGAACACAGAAAGATTGTTATCCTTATGACTTTGAATGTCCATTGTTGCAAGCATACTTAGATATTTCCATTTCCTCTGTCTCTTACTTGCTATTTTCCCACTGAGTACAGAAGGGAACTTTTTAAAAAGTAGTGAAATTATTTAAATTTTTAATATCCCTTTATATCTGTCAACATTTATTATCCCAACAGTTTGGTATCCTGTGCTTTTCAACTCTCATCTTCCCTAACAAACACAGTCACAGGAATTATGTCAGTCATAAAGAAGCATAGTTCTTAGATACATAGTTTTAATAATACCAAGGAGAAATAAATGTATGTTATGTAATAGTCTTTATTATTTACTTAAGGATTCATAGAGAATATTTCAATGAGAGGCTAAGTGAGATTTGTTCTTAAAGGAGGTCTGCTTTACACCAAATTGTTAGAAATGACAAAATTAAATAGACAGATTTTTAAACTTTGAAGTATGGAAATCTCTTTGCATTTGACCTCATTCCAAAAACAATTTAAAAAGCAAAATTGGGATATATGCTGTTTTATAGCATTCATCCACAGATGTATATTCTGTTATTTCATTAGATAAGGGTTTTTTGATGTTCTTAATGGGGCTGTGGTAGAAATAGCAGCATGGTAGAAAGAGCCCATTACTGGGCTCTTCCATTACCTGAGGTTATTTTTTTTTAAATGACCTTGTGAGATGGGCATGTTATCATCTTTATAATAAAAATCCCAGCTTTGCCACTATTTGCTTCCCTGTGGTCTTGGACATGTCACATAATTTCTCTCACAGAAGATTCATCATACAAGAAAATGAGATCATTAAACTAGATAACTCTTAAGGTTCAGCTTTGAATTTTTATACTATGACAGATGGTAAGCACTTATGAGAAATATATTTTCATTTCTCCTCACTAAACTTTCTTTACTGTATTACTGTGTCCTTCATTTTTTTCTTTCCCCTTCATCATGTAAGACTTGTGGTTCACAGTTGTTTATCACATCCTTAACTTACTGGTTTTACTTGAAGTTAAATCTGCCACTTCATCTTGAACTCCAGTTAATCATGTAATATAAGCTTTGTCATGTATGTTTTAAATTAGTTACATAAAAGCTATTTTTAACTCAGTCCCTAGGATTCCTGGTTCTTGCTTTGGGTATTAACCCTTGATTGGTGGTTTTCATCCCTGGCTCCACATCAGCACACCTGGGAATCTTCTATATACCTAGGACTTCTCCAAATCAATTAAGTCAGAATCTGGAGTTGAGAACCACTGCTCTAGATTACATTTGGTTTTGCAATCATTGGCTGGTTTTCTGTATTTAGTTTAGAGCATAAATATATTGATTTGATTTTTCTCCCCTAATTTTGTTATTGCAACCAGAAGTAGAGGAGAGCACTCACTGTAAGTATCTACCTTAAATTTTTAATCCTTTATTCCTGCTCTGCTACTAAGTTAAATTGTGTCTATTCCTTAGGCCCAAAAGCCTGTTTCCCTTCTCACTGTGGTTAAATTATGGAGCCAATTTCTCTACTTGTAAATATAAATTCTTTTAGAGTAAAAATATTTATTTCTAAATTTTTTTTTAAGTTTTTGTATTTTCAGTGTAAATCTTTTTCAGCTATCTCCTGATACCATCAACCCAGCACTTTGTTTTACTTTTAACTAGGATTAAGACTGCTATTAATAATTAAGGTGTAGGTAATAATTAAGGTGTAGATTTATTTTATGCAGTGGTGCTGGGAAGGAAAATAAAAATCTCAGATAAAAGTAAAGCATATTTAATGGTGTCCCTGCATACCTAGTTTTTTGGGCATCCTAAAGTGTAAGATAGGACTAAGGAAATACAAATGACTTAAATCATAGTATCTACTGTTGACTCAGTGAATTATTTACAGAGAATTTAAAACAGGACCATTTCATACATACCAGTTGTGTTTAAGGAGTAGTAACTGTAAACAGTTGTATGACACTAGCAGTTTATTGAATACTTTATTACTCAGTAGATTATCATATGAGGGTACTTCAAAAAGTATGTGGGAAAATAAAAGATAATATGAATCTTTCTGTAAACTTTTTGAATTACACTCATATTTGATCCTCCTAATGACCTTGTGAGATGAGTGTTATCACCTCTGTATTATAAATATGGGATCTGAATCTCAGAAGGATTAAGTGACTTGTTCTAGCTCACTAAAACACATGAATTCAACTTTTCTGCTCCAAAGCCACTGTCCTTTTCACATTTCAAGGTAAACTAATTATAAAATCAGTCTAAGTCAAACACAAATCCATGCACAGAAGTAACATGTCACGTAGTACATTCAAAGTCAAAAGATCCCTCTTTTGGGCCGGCTCGGTGGCGCACTGGAGAGTGCGCCGCTTGGGAGTGTGGCGGCGCTCCCGCCGAGGGTTCGGATCCCATGTGGAGACGGGTTCCCGCTCACTGGCTGAGCGCAGTGCGGGCGCAACACTGAGGGTTGCAATCCCGTTGCTGGTCCCTGGTACGGGCGCGACACTGAGGGTTGCGATCCCGTTACCGGTCAGTAAAAAAGACCAAAAAAAAAAAAAAACCCTCTTTTGTTATGCATCATTAGTTTTAAAAGGTACTGCTTAGTGTGACTGTGGAATCAGTGGAATCATGTTTCTCTGTTGAGCTAAATTATCCAGGTGCATCGACAATTCCTGAACTTGTGAAGTGCAGAAATCCTGGGCTTGAATTATACAATAATAGAATAGCATAGAATTTATTTTATAACAGAGTCCTAGATTTGATGGTTAACATACAGATAAAGGGTTTTTAATTAAGCTTAAAAGGACTATGGTTTATAACAGAATTATAAAAAGTCCTACAAGTCCTATTTGATCCTAGATGGTCATGGTAAATAGATAGATGGACAGAGGGGTGGAGAGAGGGATGGATGGTGATTGTAGCAGAATTCTAATTAAATTCCTTTATAACTGCATAACCCCTCAGTAACTTCAGTTTAGATTAGGGTATAAAGCAGTTGGTAACTTAATTCATTCTTCCAGCCAACATTCTCAAATTTGAGTGGGACAAACTTTTTATCTTGGGAGGGTGGGTGAGGGGGGAATAGTCAAGAAGTAACTGTCATATGCATGTATTGAAACAACATACTGTACCCCACAAATATGTTCAAGTAAATGTTAAAATATTTTTAATAAAAACACACACACAAAAAAAACATGACTGTATTGTGATCATTCGATACTTTCTTACTTCATTGTATGATGTATCTTTGTAATTATTGGTCGATTTCCTGAGTGTCCAATACGTGAACTGTCTCTTTCCTTTTCTTTTTTCACATATATCGTTATTCTCCTAAATGACTTTTTGTAAAATCCTGGGGTTTTTGTTGTTGTCGTTGTTATCTTTCAATCCTTATGAATATTTTAAATTTTCTGCTGTTTTTAAGGCTATAAACAGCTGTTTTTATCTCTCTTAGTTCTAGGCACAGACAGGGTGGAGCAGATGACCAAAACTTACAATGACATTGACATGGTTACACATCTCCTGGCAGAGGTAGGAATATGTCTTTTTTTCTTCTGGTAGAAAAAGCTTAAACTTGAAGATCATTTGGAATCTATCAAATCTACACATAAAATGAAAAATTATGTTGTCTGTACTTTGGATTATTTTGTATAAAGGTGTTACGGCTGGAACAACTGGCATACCAATTGGCATTCAGAATGGTTCTTAAAGTATATTGTTGTGAAGTTACAGAGGATTTATTTATTTATTTAAATGGTTCTGGCTGACCTACCTGTCCTAGAAAAGCACGGATCATTTTTTAAAAATTGTTTTTAAATAATCCCTGCTGTTACTCACCCTGGAGCAAAGTCACCCATTCAGGGAGTAGCTCCACTGCAACTCAACACCTGCAATTTGGAGCACCTCCCCTTTTTACTTTCAGTTTGGTGTATTATTTGAGTTTACTTTGTCCATGGCATTTTTATTTTTTTAATTTTATTTGTTTATCTATTTATTTAAATTTGGGGGGGGCTGCTGGCCAGTTGCCAGTCAATACAGGTCTCCCCTTGTACCTCAGTTTCAGTTGATCTTTTGGAAAACTGTCTTTCTCTTCAATGCACCCTTCCCCCATCTCCCCCCACCCCATCAACAGAATGATTACTATGGATGCCACTTAACCTGTATTTAAAATGGTATAAGTGAGGGGCCAGCCCGGTGGCGCACTGCTACAGTGCACTGCTTGGGAGCGTGGTGGCGCTCCCGCCGAGGGTTCGGATCCCACATACAGACCGGTTCCCGCTCACTGGCTGAGTGAGGTGTGGGAGCAACACCGAGGGTTGCGATCCCGTTGCCGGTCCCGGTCCGGTCTGGGCGCAACACTGAGGGTTGCGATCCGTTGCCAGACACGAAAAAAGACAAAAAGGGAAAAAAAAATAAAATAAAATAAAATGATATAAGTGAGACTTGAAAATTAGGAGATAAACCCTCCATCTATTTTCATATGCAATGGAGAGAAAGGATAGACACTTAATTTTATTTATATAGTGATTAATGTAAGTGGAACCCATACTTATATGTGTAAGGCAATGTATTAGTCTTACAGCAAAATACCTGGAACTGGGTGATTTGAAAGAAAAAATTTATCGCTTACAGTTGCAGAGACTGGGAAGTCCAAAGTCTAGGGAACACACTTGGTGAAGGCCTTGGTGGCAACAGTGACCCAGGGGTCTCACATGGCAGAAGATTGCAGAGAGAGAAAGAGACTATCTTCTCACGTGCACTTCTTTTAAAACCCTCAGAACCATGCCCCTGACCACCATTATTAATCCTTCCCTGCAACATGGTCCTACAGTCTAATCACTTCCTCAAGACTGCACCTTTTAATTATGTAATAGGATTTCCCATCATCTTAACACGGTCACAGTGGGGGTCAACTTTTGGAGGGATAATCCAAGGCAGGCAGTTATTAATATATATATTATATATGTGTGTGTGTGTAATTTTTTTAATAAATATAGGTTTATTACTGTCCTCACCACTGCCGCACAGATGGGATTCCTGTGCACTTGCTAAGTATCACCATCTACCCAGAAAGAAGAACTCTGTAGAAGCCTGTTGCTTGGCTTTTCTACAGGCCTCCCTGCATCATTACCACCAACTTCTTTGGATTCCCTACTTTTTTATACTCTAGGCAGAACCCTGTATTCTCAAAACTTCCAGACTTTTATTCCATTTTTTTATTTTATATCATATCATTCTTGCATCAGTTGGCAACAAGGCACTTGGCTCACTTTCCTCTAAACTGCTGGTTCTGAGAGTGTATAAGCTTTGCCCTAATGAAACTGTTTGCAACATACCTACCTGATTCCCATATCTTAAATATCTAATTCTGTATCATTACCATGCTTGATAGAGAAATGCATTCAACTAGTATTTGTTGTGTAGGCTTTTACTGTGTTACAGGTCCCATCATTTTAAAGACTAAGTTGATTTTGTAATTCCACAAAATTGTAAAAGGTTGGGTTGCTGGGCCCTTATTTACTAGGATGATCAGTAAATCTCACTTGATATCAAGAAAAGAGATGTCCTCTTCTTGCATTTGTAACTGTGGTGGTCATGCATTTGACCAACATTATTAAACGCTACCTGTATTCATTTGTGTTTATTTGGGCATTAAAATGAATCTTGATGCTTTCTAGGACGTTGCTTTTGAGTTTAGCAAAATTGACTGCAGAATTTCTAAATGGCCATATAATTTTGTTTATACCCAAAGAAAAGGTGTATTTGGTATTTTAACAGAGGGATCGTGATCTGGAGCTAGCTGCTAGAATTGGACAAGCTCTCTTAAAGCGGAACCATGTCTTGTCTGAGCAGAATGAAGCCCTGGAGGAGCAATTGGGACAAGCCTTTGATCAAGTAAGCCTTTGATCAAATATATGCAGCATGAAATAATTAAGTCTTGTGCAGTGGAGAAATTTATTTTCCTGGGAGTCCTTGAAATGATGACTGTAGGTAAATAACACCAGAACCTGTTGACTTTGTTCGCAACCATTGAACTAACCAGTAGAAAAATGAAATGTTATTGTATAGAAGAGCGTTTGTGGGACCCAACCTTAAGTCAGTTTAAAGCCTATATTTAGCATTTGTAGTATCTCTGGCAGCCTGTTTAGATTCTAAGACTATTCTCACTCCTTTGTGTAGACATTGGGTATAATCTTATCTTAAATTTAATTTTTAAAAAATACATGCCCAAATGTAAGAATCTCTATTCAAAACCCAAAAGAAAAGGGAGAAAGAAAAAGAAATTTTTGAAAATTTATTTATTCCATAGCAATCAACATTAATAGAAGAACTGATTTATTATTAACTTGAATGGTTAAATTTCAAATTTTCTGTAACTTGTTATTTTTATCTGGTTTTATTTGTATTTGATAAATGTATAATAGTTGATAACATTTGAGCCTTTATGTTGAAAATATTTATTCCCTAGAACTAAAATTAGTACTCCTGGGAAGACATGCATGTTATGTACAGCTCAAAGTTATAGGCCCTTGGGATGAGAATTTGAAGTAGGGTTCTGTCCTGATAATTTGAATGTTCTTCAGTTTTGTTTTGTTTTCAACTGTGATTGTATCATTATCTTAGGTGAAATTGTTTTCCTGTATTCCTATTATAAAGAATATGAAAATCAGCTTTTCTTCTCACCTACTGTAGACAAAGCTGTATTTGCTGAGTTATGACCTAAAACTGTAGATTAGGAATTATCTTGAGTTTGTTATTCTCTATTTAGCACTTGTTACTTTAGCCAGTAAAATGTAGCAGCTGATGTTGTGATTTTTTTTAATAGTGAAAAACATAATTGTTCCACGAATTAGAAGCTGTATTGCATGTAAATAGCACAAAATTTAAAAAATCTTGTAAGTCAAGCACTTCTTATGTGCAGGTTAATCAGCTGCAGCATGAGCTGTCCAAGAAAGATGAATTACTTCGAATTGTCTCCATTGCTTCTGAAGAGAGTGAAACTGATTCCAGCTGTTCTACACCTCTTCGATTCAATGAGTCCTTTAGCTTATCTCAAGGTTTGCTGCAGTTGGACATGCTGCAAGAAAAGCTCAAGGAACTGGAAGAAGAGAATATGGTTCTTCGATCCAAGGTACATTTAACCTAATTCTCATTTTCCTTTATTTTAAAGGATACAAGGCCTGGCCTGTTAGCTCAGTTGGTTAGAACACAGCCTTGTAATACAAAGGTCACGGGTTCAGATCCTAGAACCAGCCTGCTGCCAAAAAAAAAATAACAGATAAAAGGTTTGTGTCCAGGTGGTATTGAGGTGAAATATGGCATAACCAAGGATTTGCTATGGACATTCTAATTAGGGGGTGGCAGACAAGGAACTGTATTTGCCTTCCATTGTAACTTAGATCTCACTGAAAAGTGGATAATAGCAGGTTGACAGATAAAATAGAGAAAGACACAGCCTAGATCATGTATCTTGTGGAGTTTACACAAATAACTAAGTAATTACAACTCTGATAAGAGCTGTTAGAAAACTGCAAGGTTCTGTGAGCTTATATAATGGGGAGAATCAAGAAAGTCCCACTGAAGCACGTGACATTTAGAATGAGGCTGGAGATTACCCAGGCAGACATGTAGGTTACAGGGGGCATGAGTAGGCATATGCAAAAGCCCTGAGAAGAGTGAGGGGGAGATGCTTGTGATGTCTTTTTCTATACCTTTATTTTATGGCAGATAATGCTTGACAGGTTGTTGGGTTTTTTCCTTTGTAAGTAATGAACTTTAATCTTCAAACGGCAAAGGTTTTTGTAGCTATTACTATAAAATCATTAGAAGATATTGTCCCATACCAATTCTTTTTCTTAAAGGCTTGTCATATAAAGACAGAAACTATTACCTATGAAGAGAAGGAACAACAGCTTGTCAATGACTGTGTTAAAGAACTTCGTAAGTATTAACATATTCTGTTTTGTAGCCATTGGGAAATCTTTTGTAGGATATCTACTACTAGGAAATTATATCAATGGTTTCAGTAGAAGCATCTCAAGAAACAATTTAATGGTTACTGAAAATCTTAGAATATCACATTGAGCTCACAACCTAAATAAGGTACCATATGTATTTTTAAGAAATACATTTGTTTCAAATTGCCATCATTGTTAAGTAAAGACCTAAATTTTCTATAAATAAGTTATAGCATAGCATGTTAAAATGAAAGGAACCAAAGCTTATTTTGTCAACTAGGAAAAAGTCCTGTAGAGGATATGATTTGCCAGAGTCAGAAAACTGGTAAGTGGCAGAGCCAGGGCTTAAATGATGGCATAAAACCTAACATTCAGTGAGTATATATTAAGTACCAGTTATGTGTCTTTAAAGGAGTATATTTTGGTTGGAGGTAATGTTAACTAAAATAATTTTTTTAAATAAATCAGTTGTAAAAAGATGGTTTCACTAGAGAAAGATATTTAATTTCTCTATAAATATATACAGACTTTTATGTTAAAAGAGTTGATTTGGTAATGTCACATCAGCCCATCTGGGCCGTGGGCCTCAAAATGTGATACCTTAGAATAATAGAATATTAGGGCCAGCCCGGTGGCGCACTGCTACAGTGCGCCACTTGGGGGCGCGGCGACGCTCCCGCCGAGGGTTCGGATCCCACATACAGACCGGTTCCCGCTCACTGGCTGAGCGAGGTGCGGGTGCGGCACCGAGGGTTGCGATCCGTTGCCGGTCACGAAAAAAGACAAAAAGGAAAAAAAAAAAAAGAATAATAGAATATTAGAGAACCAGAAGGAACATACATTGAATTTTCTCTTCCACCAGCGCTACTATTACCCCACCTTTTACACTTTACAAAACAAACAAGAAATAACTTTCCCAAGAGCCCACATCCTGGTCTCTTGCCTCCTTATTGGCATCCTTTAAAATGTTAGAGGCTTTCTATCGATTTAAAAATAGTTTTATAAGACACTGAGAAATAGTTTTTCTGCTTGTGTTTAGATGTCAAATTTTTTATTTGAAATAAAGGTTTATTTCCTCAGCAGAATTTCAGAGATTCTATTTCATGTGCTTGCAGAAGTGCCAGGCTGCAAAAATTGTTCTAGAGGTCCTGCTCTTATAGAGTATGACTGTTCCATTCTGGAAGTGTTCCTTTGTTAGATGTGTTAAGATTAGTTTTCATTACTTATGGGATTTTTTTATTTATGTCCCTGAGGAGTTTTCAAAGACATAGATGAGATTATTTTTCTCTATTGGCTTCTCCAGGTTTATTTTTTAATTTATGTTAAAGAATAATCTGATAGTCCGGTGCTCGTTATTAAACAAGATTTGGCCACAGGCTGTTTTGTTTGCCAGCCCCTGCCATACACTTACATTAATTTTTTAAATTTCACTTTGCTTCCAAGGTGAAACAAATGCTCAGATGTCCAGAATGACTGAAGAATTGTCAGGGAAGAGTGATGAACTGATTCGATACCAAGAAGAGATCTCCTCTCTCTTGTCTCAGGTTGTAGATCTTCAGCACAAACTTAAAGAAGTAGGTTTATTTATTCATTCAACTGATGTTTGTTAAGCACTGACCTAGTATTGTGTACTGTGCTAAGTGCTAGATATAGTAAGCAAAATAAACATGGTCATACCCTTTTAAAATGTGTTAGTCTGATTGCTGTTTTAATCTTCTTTATGCATAAAATATCGTGAATAACTACTTTCAAGTCACTGTTTCTCTCTGTAAAATGGGGTTAGATTTTCCTCAGAAAGTTGTGGTATGAATTATTGATTCATGCTCATTGTCTCCTGAACACTTTGATGGATTTTGTATTCTGCCCATTGTGTTGCTCTTACTTGGCTTTTGAAAGGTTAGCTTTTTATAGGCCTTAAGACTATACCCCAGAGAGAAACTCTTAAGATATCTTTAAAAGAGAGATGTATATTTTATATGGGAAGACTTCACATGTCTCTTTTAATATGTTGTTAGCATGTGATTGAGAAGGAAGAACTAAGACTTCACCTACAAGCTTCCAAAGATGCCCAGCGACAACTGACAATGGAGGTAACAAAATCTTCCTCGGTCTTGTGTAATTCAGGAGGGATAAGAATGAGTGTATAGTTTCTTTCATCTTTGTGAATGAGAATTTTTAAAGGGGGATCACTAGATTTTAAAAGCAACATCAACAACAACAAAAGATTAAGATGAAATTATGAGATCTAAGAACTAAAACATTTTTTAAAATCTTATCTCTAAAACTAGTAACATGGCAACATCCTTCTTGATTAATAGGGAAAACCTTGACTTTTAGAAGATTCTTTAGGAATATATGACCCTTTTACCAGCCTACTTTAACTAGCCCAACAGTTTTTTAAAGTAAGATAATTTGTAATAAGTGTTTTCACAGATATGTCAGATGAAATAGCAAAAATATCTTATTTTCTGTCTATACAGAATTCTATATATTAGACTTAACTTAGTAGTTCTTTAGTGTTCATGAGAATCACCAGGGAGAGCAAGTTTTAAGTGGAGATTCCCATGCACTATCCTAAGAGTTTCTAATTCATTGCGTCTAGAGTGAGGGGCTAGAATGTGCATTTTCAATAAGCATCCCAGCCCTGGTGATTCTGATGAGCTGGTACACATAATACAAGAGTACTTCAAAAAGTTCGTGGAAAAAATAGAATTAAAAGCTACTAAAAAAACTTTCCATGAACTTCTCGAAGTACCTTTATATATACTCTAAAATTATGTACTCTTTTACCAGACTTGTGTATCTAGCTGTAAAGAAGTTTCTAAAACAAGGGGGATGAAACTACATGTTTAGGATGATTGAGCACTCTGACATCATATATAATACATTGCAGACTCTTGATCTTGTCACTTACTACTTCAGAGTGATTTTTTTTTTTTTTAAGATTAATATTATGCTAAGCCTAACTTGACCATAGCTATTATACTTTCTGTACAAGTTTTATAGGGTATGAAGCATTAAATATTGAATTGACAGTTCTGGTTGTCTCAGCTACATTTCAGATTTTTGGGAAGTCATGTTTATGTATAATTTTGGCTAAGACACTCCTAATTCTGGCAGCTTGAAATACATATATTCTCCTTGCTTAGTTTGTTTCAGAATCTTTGTATTGAAATAATATAAAATTAGCTAGTCCTCTAGATAAAGTTAATACTTATCCCAAGGAGTTTTCTTCTTTTTTTCTTCCCATTGTTGTTTTGAGAAGACAGTAAAAGTACACTGCCATCCTTTCTTTCAGCTGCATGAGTTACAAGACAGGAATATGGAATGTCTGGGTATGTTACATGAATCTCAAGAAGAAATAAAGGAACTTCGTAGTAGATCTGGCCCTGCCGCTCATCTCTACTTCTCCCAATCCTTTGGAGCTTTTACTGGGGTAAGGAACTGAGAAAGATGCTGTGTTTTTAAAGAAACTTGTTTAAGATTAGATTTTCCAGAAAGTGATATGGATTATGATGGTATAAAGCATCTCAAGAAGCAATAACATAGTTTGTCCTTGTTTCTGGAATGCTCTTATTGATTTAGACCTTAAATGTGTATCTAGATCTTCCTTAATACTCTTATTTATTCTAACAGATGACCTTCCAGATTTATTGTAATTTGTGAGATGAACCCTAGGGAGACTAGGTTGAGGTCTGTGTAAACTTGAGTAATCCAACCCAAGGCCCACCACCTACCACTTATTTAAACAGTGTTTTGAACATTGATTTATTGAAACTTCTTTCAATAAATCTTGAGTTTCTTGGTATGTTTAACTCCAGTTAGAGTGTAAGGCCCGTGAGACAGGAATCATGTTTGTTTAATTCATTAATAAACAGTATTTCTTGAATTAAAGAAATTAATAAAAACTTCCAAGTTTATACTAGAATTTGTAATGTTGATTCAAAGAGTTATTTTAATAATCTGATTTTTGAACACTTATGTACAATCCCGTGAAATTTTTTGAAAGACCAAAACTAAATTTTAGTAGATTTTCTTAAGGATATGGGGGTAGGATTTTTTGTTTTTTAATTTTTTATTTTGAAATAATTTTAAACTTATAATAAAGTTCCAAGAATAGCACAAAGAACTCTCATATATCCTTTACATAGATTCCTCAATTTTTAATATATTACTGGATTTGTCATATCATCTTGTTTTTTTCTGCACTTCAGTAAGTTGCAGATACACCCTATTACCCCTAAGTACTTAAAGTGTGTGTTTACTAAAGATGAGGACACTCTCCTACATAACCACACTATAGACATCAACATCAGGAAGTTGATATTTACAATACTATCATCTAATCTGCAGAGTCCATTCAAATTTTGCCTATTGTCCCAATAATGTTCTTTAAAGGATATGATGTTGCATTTAACTGTTTCAATCTGGGACAGTTCTGTCTTGGTCTTTCATGGCCTTTGTAGAATGTCCTCAGTTTATGTTTGTATGATGTTTCCTCATGATTAGATACAGATAATGCATTTTTGACAGAAATAATGCTACATTCTTCTCAGTGCATCATATTGGAGGTGCACAATGTCTATCCCATTATCGCTGATGTTAATTAACTTTGATCTCTTGGTTAAGGTAGTTATCTGCCAATTTTTTTTTCACTGTAAAGTTAATTAATGATAATTAATTAAATTAACACTATTGATTCACTTTACAGTGATGAAAATCAGCAGTTACTACTTTAGCCAAGTGATCAAAGTTAATATTTTGTGGGGAGGTACTTTGAGACTAAATATCCTGTTCCTCATCAAACCCACTAGTTTCTGTACCCATTGCAGGTTCTTATCTAACTCCGTTATTGCTACGATAACTGCCAGATGGTGATTTTCTTTTTTTTTTTTTTTTTTTTTTTTTTTTTTTTTTTTTTTTTTTTTTTTTTTTTTTAAAATAAATATCCTGTTCCTCATCAAACCCACTAGTTTCTGTACCCATTGCAGGTTCTTATCTAACTCCGTTATTGCTACGATAACTGCCAGATGGTGATTTTCTTTTTTTTTTTTTTTTTTTTCCTTTTTGTCTTTTTTTACTGACCGGTAACGGGATCGCAACCCTCGGTGTCGCACCCGTACCGGGGACCGGCAACGGGATCGCAATCCTCGGCGTTGCGCCCGCACCTCGCTCAGCCAGTGAGCGGGAACCGGTCTCCACATGGGATCCAAACCCTCGGCGGGAGCGCCGCCACACTCCCAAGCAGCGCACTCTCCAGTGCGCCACCGGGCCGGCCCCCAGATGGTGATTTTCTAATTCCATCATTTTTTTTTTTTTTTACATTTATTGGTATTCTTCTGTAAGTCAGAGCTTTTCTGTCCCATTTATTTATTCATTTGTTCATTTAGTATGTCAGTATGGACTCATGGATTCCTATCATATCCAGTGAAGCCATTATTATTATTATTATTTACTTTAATACTCAAACTATCCCAAATATGGGCAGAGGGCTCTCCTCCATACTTATCTTGTATTTTTTGTCCCAGCCCTGGAATCAGCCATTTCTCCAAAGAGTGTTCATTACTTTTTTTGAGGAATGGTACTTAGAATCTGACATCTGGGTGCTAGGTGTACCCTTTGCCACTAGAGGATCATGGCTTCTAGGCCCTCTCAGCAGATAGAACTAGGAAATGTATGTGCTTCATACATACACTCACATAATACATATATCTGTCTTTATCCATATTTATATCTGTATATATTAAAAATCATAAGTTCACACCAGTGCTTCCAATTCCTGTCATCCTCAGCTCAGCCCCACCAAGCACATGATCCATGCTGGTTGAATCCTAATCCCTTACCCGGGAAAAGGAAGCTTGCTTATTTTTTCTAATGATTTTTTTTATATTATAAAAGCTGTACGTGCTTACTATAGAAAAGTTAGAAATTATAGAAAATCAAAAAGAAATGGTTAAATACTATTAAATCTCACTCTCCACTGAATCACTATTAACACTTGGTTTATGGCCTTTATTTTTGTGTGTCTGCACATGTAATTCTTTCTGTTTATCATACTGGTTTTTCCCACTGCTTTCCTGTAAAAATATGTCTTGAAAAGGTAGTTGGTTCTTGCTTAAAAGTTATATTTCTAGAATGTCCCTGTTTTCCCTGAATTTAGCTTGTAACTATTTTCTTGTCTTTTATTATAACAACAACAGTACTATCAGATTGTAGAGACTCTAATTAAGGGCAATAATCAAGTGACAAATCTCAAACTCTTTTTCGTAGGAATCTTTGGCAGCTGAGATTGAGGGCACCATGCGTAAAAAGTTGAGTTTAGATGAAGAATCTTCTTTTTTTAAACAAAAGTAAGTATAGATCACATGAGTTATTACTCAACCATTGGAATGGAAATTAAAAAGAAACCACAATCCAAACTAAAAATACGGTGAGATTCAGTAGTAAATTTGCTTACTATTCAGTTTTTTTCCTCACAGCGTCCTCATTTGTGAGAGAGTTCTCTTGTTCCAGAGTTTATTTTCTAATAATTTCTCCTAAACATTAGAGGCTACTCAGGATGGCTTTATTTCTAATGAACTGTACATATAAGTCTCTTTTCTAATGCACTCGAGTGGTTGGCAGCAATAGTAATGAACACTTCCTTTTGGACAGAGCCCAACAGAAACGGGTATTTGATACTGTCAAGGTTGCCAATGACACATGGGGCCGCTCTGTCCCATTCCCAGCTCTGCTACCCATCCCAGGCTCCAACCGTTCAAGTGTCATCATGACAGCAAAACCTTTCAAGTCTGGTTTACAGCAGACAGAGGACAAAATACTCCTGACCCAGGGGAGCAACTCGGAGGAGATTCCAGGGTAAGAAATGTAGACTGTGGCAGTGATTCTGCATTTCTTGTGGCGTTGATATGTCAGGTTCACACACTCAGATTGCAGCATTACTCTATACTGTCCCAAGAAAGTTTTGGAACTATCAGTTTTCATTCAGTTATGATGCCCTATATTATTATTTGTAAGATAGATCATGATTTTATAAAAGTTTTTGGAGTAAGAAAACTATATTTAATTAAATGTATTGAAAATGGAGCTTGCATGTAACTTTAGAATTGTTTATTACTTCCTTCTTCAGTGTTGCAGAGTTTGAGTCTAAATCTATATGTTCAAAGCCAAATTTGTTTGAATTAACTTGGTCATTGACATAAATGCATCAAATTACACTCTCTCATAACCCATGCTGATAATCTCAACCACTTTGGTGCTTTTAGGATAAACAATAAGTTTAAATACATATTGAAGGCAACCAGGTTGTTCTTAATTTCCTAATTGTTTAGACTTAGATTTTTTTCCTTCTTTCTATTTATTTCATTGAATTATGGGTAACTGGAAATTAAACAGCTTTACTGAAAAGTCAGCTGAAAGCCTTTGAAAGATAGACATTTAGCACATGAAGGAAATCTTTCCTGATGCAGAAATCCATCAGGCTAGTTTTCCATTGTATTGGTTGGTCTGTCATGGGCAGCATTCTGCAGCCAGAGTAACTTTTTGTGTCAATACGGCCTCATTGTTACACAATTATTTTAGGAGAAGATCTAAAACATCTATATGAATTCACACACAGTAGCCAGGAGCAACCACAACTCGGCTTGCTACTCTTTCTTTTGGTATCAATTGTAAGACACCTCCCAACCTCAAAAATGTTGAAAAGCAAAATAATGTGCATCAGAGAACTATGAAGATACAGTATTATACAAATGTTGTTTTCTTTTAAATGCTCTGCAATATTTGTGGGCAATTCTATGGCCCAAAGCAAATTTTTTCACATTTTAGTGTTTTTTAAATTGTTGTGTCGTACAACTAATGGCATATCAGAGTTTAATGAGTAGCATTTTTTCTTTTTTCATAGTACATAAAATAATGGTATCTCTTGCAATCAATGATATTATAGATTCAGTGAAATATGATATGTATTTACTTTTGTGACTACTTAATCTGAATTTTATAGATGGTCATATCTATAGTTTCATAAATTAAATCAGATAGAATAGTTAGTACACACAACATAATAAAGTTTATTTTTTGCCTCTCTGAAGTTATTTTAAATGATCTGTAAAAATGATATGTAGTATTGTTGGTAATTTTGATTTGTTATTATTTCTGTATTCTAGATATCTTAGAAAATGCATTTTTAAGATCAGTCTCTTTGAACATTCACTGTTGTAGAAAGAAAAGGCCTAGGTTGTGCTCATGACCCTTAAGATCTGATCAGTGAATGTGATTTTCCCATAGGAACTCTCAGAAGATGGGCCAACCAGGACCCTCTAGAGATAGTGATTTGGCTACAGCACTGCATCGTCTTAGCCTGCGTCGACAGAACTATTTAAGTGAGAAGCAGTTCTTTGCTGAAGAATGGGAGCGGAAGATCCGGGTTCTGGCTGACCAGAAAGAAGGGGTTAATGGCTGTGGCACCCCCACAGAGAGTCTTGCCTCTCTCTGCAATGACCAGTCAGAGATTACAGACTTCAGCGGTGCCAGTTGCCTTCGAGGGTTTATGCCAGAAAAATTACAAATTGTCAAGCCCCTTGAAGGTAATAAATCAATAAGTGTTCTTTCCAAGCCATGTGGCTTATTGGACTTTCCCTAGAATTGAGATTTATATTGTAATTGTAAGAACACTATGTGCAGAAGGTATCTTTATTATCCCTAAATCTCACTGTTCGGGTGACAGTGCATTGTAGTACTTTGTGGAAAATTAATGAATGAAGAGATCTGCATTCTGTAAGTCATAAGTCATCAGTTCCCTTCTACTGTTGTTCTTTTTAATATAGATATGAGGGGGGAGGAGGAATAATCTTTCTCTATCTTTTGCTATGGAATATCATTGACAGCAGTTTCTATGGTAAGATAAACAGGATATGATCAATGAAAATAATCTAGAGATAATTCTTCATCTTCACCTTTCTTTTCAAAAAAGCATTCTTGGTCTGGCTGGTTAGCTCAATTGGTAGAGCATGGTGTTATAATACCAACGTAAGGGGTTCGGATCCAAGTACTGGCCAGCGACCAAAAAAAAAAAAAAAAAAGTTCTTTACCCAAGAAGTGTAATTAACTTAAAGGTATGTGTGCCTGTATTTTTCTTTTTTTCAGTTCTGTTAGTTTAAATTCAGTTTCTGTTTTTTTCTAACATAGAACTTGAATTCAGAATAAATTTCTCTGTTTTATAGAATATTAACAATTCTCAAATGATTCTCTGACAGTATCGTAAAAGAGTTCTGCATTAAACAGAATTTTGAGTAGGTAACCTATAAAGACCCCCTCAAAATCAAAGGTTCTGTTACTTAGCTTTATTCATTAGTAATCAGTGCAGATATTTGTCAGAGTTGCCATTTTTAGGATGAAATGTCTACAGTGGCATAATTAGACATTGCATCTGCAAGTGCTTTGGGATGATCATTCACAAGCATTCCACAGATTGGAACCACGGGGATGTACCCTTTTTTTCATCTTCATTTTCCTTCTCTCCCTGGCAGCCTGGGGAAAGAAGAGTCATGAACAGCATGGGGAAATATACAAACAAACCACTGAAAATTCAAGGTGTCTTCCAACCTAGGAGTCTGGCTTTTAATTTCCAAGTTCATAGGCATAGTTCCAGCCAGGGGAGTATTGATTTTTGTCACATGGAAAAATACTCACCTTAGAGGTGGGCTGTATCTTCCTTCTCATCTCTGCCTCAGCATCCTAGTTCATCTTAAGGGTAACTTCTTGGTTTTTCACCCTTCTTTAGATGTCCTTTATAAAGTTAACTTTTGAAATAGAAAGATTATTATTCATACCTTCAACATCTTGTCAGTCTTCCACAGAGAATTTTAATTTGCAAATTTTACCAAAATATCAAGACAAAATAAGTAGTTTTATTACTGTCACTATTGTTATTCCACATATAATTTTAGCTTCTGTTTCAAGATTTAAGATTTGTGGGACATGTAAAACATGCCCTTTTTTTTTCCCTTTGGCCTGCATGTTCAGGATCACAGACTCTCTATCATTGGCAACAGCTTGCTCAACCAAACTTGGGAACCATTCTTGATCCACGACCTGGTGTCATTACTAAAGGCTTTACCCAGTTGCCCAAAGAAGCCATCTACCACATCTCAGATTTAGAAGAGGATGAAGAAGAGGGTATTACTTTTCAGGTTCAACAGCCTCTTCAAGTGGAACATAAAGCTTCAATATCCAAGCCAGTAACAGGAATCTTCCTACCACCCATTACTTCAGCAGGTGGACCAGTTACAGGTGAGAAGAGTGCTTAGTTGAATATGGTCTAGGAACCAGTAGTGCTTTGCCTTCTGACTTACTGTATGGTCAGGTGGCTGCCTCTGCTCAAATCTCACTGGAGTATACTCAGTCTTGGATATAAGATAATGAAAATCTGTACAGTTAATGTCATTCCTAATTCTCTCCACTTTATCTTAGCCAGCCTTCTTAAATAAACTGAGCACAGAAATAGAGCAATTCAGTCAGTGGTTCACAAACTTTTTGGGCTCAGTTTCTCTTTATACTTTTAAAAATCATTGAGAGTTCCAGAGGGCTTATCTATGTGGGTTATATCTATTGGTGTTTACCACATTAGAAATCAAAACTGAGAAATTATAAAAATATTTATTCACTCACTTAAACATAACTATGTGTTACACAAATATGAGAAATATTTTTTTAAGTAGTAAGAAAAATGGTTTTGTTTTATAATTTTGCAAGTCTCTAAGTTATGGCTTAATAGAAGATAGTTGAATTCTCATTGCCAGCTTATGCATTCAGTCTTTTGCAATATGTTGTTTTGGTTGAACAATATGAAGAAAATGCAAGTCTGAAGCAAGCATGTAGTTAGAAAAGGAAAGAGTATTTTAATAGTCCTTTCAGGGATTTGCGGATATCCTTTGCCTTTACACCAAAATTTGGTGAATGGCAATTTCTTGAATATTTGTAGCAATGTGGAATCTGAAACCCTGTCAATGAACTTTTCTTACTTTGTTACATTAAAAGCATTGGTCTATCCTACATTTTGATTGATCCTTTTACCCATGCATGGTTTTGTAAATCATGCATTGGTCATTTAAAAAATATTGACTTACTGAGTTATGCAGATTTTCCATATGTGATTTTACATAATGAGATGTGTCACAATATTGAAATCACATTAATGTCATCACTTGTCTTCATCAGAAAAGCTCTATAAGTATTAGGAAGATTTCAAGCTCTCATTGGTGGATACAAGTTTTCCAAACTCTGATTTTTCACTTGAAAGCTCGTTTTGTCACTGGCAAAAAATATTTTTTCAGCTGTTTTCCTTGAATGGACAGGCACACTTCATCTGTCTTCAGGAAAATGTCTGCTGAATACCCAAGTCTGAATAACTATAGTTAGTCTGTTGTTCTTTCAAGTAAAAATGGCATTCCATCACAAAATTCAATTCAGTTGCACAGGGGCTTTTCCTCTAGATAACCACTGCATCCCATGGAGTCTGTGGACCACACTTTGAGAACTACTGGAATAGATAGTTTGGCTAGATACTTCGGATGACTTGTTTTGATTTTTCTTTAATGTATTTTTTCAGTGTGTGTTTTTCCTCTCGTTTCTAAGTTATTTTTATGCCTGCGATTTATAGTTTTAAAATATTGAAGGATTCAGCTATATACTAAGCAGTTGAGGGGCTGGCTGGTTAGCTCAGTTGGTTAGAGCACAGCCTTATAACACCAAGGTCATGGGTTCGGATCCCCCTACTGGCTAACTGCAAAAAAAAAAAGAAAAAGTTTCTTACTAACCAGTTAATACTTGTACAATCTTTATGTATATTTTGTTTCCAGACTTGGGGACTTTTGCTACAAAAGGCACCTGGTAAATGTATTATTGATAAGTAATGATGAGCTTTTTGCATTAACCTAGTCTTTCAATTTTGTGTTTGACTTCCGAAAAATCTATATTTCAGGTGCAGCCTCAAACCCAGGAAAGTGTCTGTCATGCACGAACTCGACATTCACCTTCACCACCTGTAGGATATTACATCCCTCTGACATCACTCAAGTTACCCCCAGGTAGGAGGGTCTGGGAAATCTGGGGCCTCACTTCTTTCCTCAAGTATGTTTTTATGAATATCTTTTTTAAATCACCTTCATTTTATTTTATTTATTTATTTATTTATTTATTTTAAATCACCTTCATTTTAATTCCCAGAATTTTAATTAATGTTCTATAATAATTTGTCTTTACATATCTTCACATTGTATTTTCTCATTTGATCATTGTAACTCTTTGAAGTAGAAAGGGCATGTTAGTATGTATTGTGTAAAATGAAGAAACTGAGGCCTAGAAAGTTGAGGTGATTGGTCCAAGGGCAGACACTTAGTAAATGACCTAGGTAAGGCTATCCCTACCCAGAGTTAACCAAACTGCAAGGTTTGAGGGACCAGTCCTCTGCACAAGACGACCCTCGCTTCTGACACCACCTGCATGTTCAGGGGGTTTCCAAAAACACTTTTAGGTTCAATGATTTGCCAGAAGGCTCACAGAACTCATGGAAAGCTGTTATACTCATGGCTACTGTTTATTACAGGGAAAGGATACAGGTTAAAATTATCCAAAGGAAGAAATGCATAGGGCAGAATTTCGGAGGTTCTGAATGTGAAGCATCCTTTGTCTTTAGGATTCATTGCTCTCCTGACATTGATATATGACAGTACACACAGAATATTGCCAACCAGGGAAGTTCACCTAAGCATCAGTGTTTTTATTGGGGCTCCATTGTGTAAGCATGATTGATTGATTATCCACATGGTTGAACTCAGCCTCCCAGTCTACTGATACTGCATGACCCAAAGCCACTAGCCTAAATCACATGGTTGGTCTTTCTGGTATGGCCATCCCTCACCCTAAGACTGTTAAGTGTGGCCAGGCCCACCATAAGATCTAGAGTGACAAGCCCCAACTCTAACTTAAAGACATTCCTATCAGTTATGACATAGATTGTCTTCCAGAAGCTGAGGACAAAGGCCAGACCTCTCTGGGCAAGGCCAAATTATTTACTACACAGGCTAGAACATGGGTATTCTAACAGTTTCTTATTAATCCATATAGATGCTCTTTCTATCCTACCAATTCCCAAAAGAATCTAAGGTAGCTTTCAAAGACATGTAGTACATTGTAGAGATAATGTTAACTAGAAGTAAGGAAAGAAGATGATGCAAAGGGGAATCCAGAATAAGGGTATAGAGTGGGTAAAAGAATAAAACTAGTGTACAAATTATACCATAAATTCTTATATGGTATAATCATTATATACTTGCTAAAGTGAGCCATGTATTTGAGTCTTAACTTTCTAACTGCCAGTATGGAGGGAAATATGATTATGACTCACAGTGTCTATTAGAAGCAAGTCAGTTGTTTAGGGAAGCATTTGGACGATATCCAATAAAGATCCCAATAAAGTAATGAACAAGCATATCTGCAGTTTTTCAACATTGTTCTTATAGACACAAAGATAAGTTAAAATTGGTTCTTGAGGGGACTCTTATTACAGGTTGATGCCATCATACAAAATGTACAAGTTGGGAAAGTACAAGCAATGTTATAGTATAGGAGGAATAAGGAGGTCAGAGACTGGGAGTACAGTATACAGACTGCACCAGATCCGAGGTTCTTCGTCGGACTGCTTTGACCAAGGAGAAAAACATGTTTGAATTTTGCTTCTTTTATACAAGTTGGAGCTTAGAAAGTATATTAATCTAAAACTTGAATTTTCTTTATAATCTTTAAAAATCTTGATATCTTAAATACTGAGTATTTTGTATTGAAGTAAAAGTTTATGTATTAAATACTGGCAGCATTTGTTCAGGGGGGAAAATTGGCTAAAGAAGTACCCTCTTCATTCCATCACCGTTTCATGATCTCTTATTTAGTTTTTCTTTTTAACTAAGCGTAGAAGAAGAAGGAAAATTCTAATAGCTGTCAAAGTTTTAAGATATTTTTAATTTCCTAGAAACACATGTTCCAAGTTAAGGTTGAGAAAAATTCAAAATGGAAATTTAACTGTTAGAAGTTTGTTATTTTTCAGTGATATAAAATTGAAAGATTAAAAAGAAATAAATTTCTCCTTAGAAGATAGAGTTAAAATTTAAGAGCAAAGTTACCTGAGAGTACAGCAACCTTTTTCATGTCCTACTGAAAAGATATGTTTTAGCAGCTTCAGGACTAAGTTACAGATTACAAATAACCATTCACTGAACTATTATGTCAAAATTTTCATTCCTCAGATCTATTTCACAGGGTGCGGTTATGATTTGTTGCCTGTTCCTCTACATTTTACCAAGGATAACTACTATAACTACTTTAAACGTTGGCTTGTGGATTGCTTTATATTCTTAAACACTCTCTTCCACTTTTTGTTTTTTTAAAGCTCTGGTTTCCCTTCATTATCCTCTGGAAGTAGTGGTAGCAGTTCATCAAACACGGCTGTGAATTCTCCTGCTGTGTCCTACAGACTCAGCATTGGTGAATCTGTCACCAACCGACGAGATTCTACTATCACCTTCAGTAGCACCGTGAGCTTGGCCAAACTTCTACAAGAGCGAGGCATCTCTGCTAAAGTGTACCACAGCCCAATTTCAGAGACCGCCCTCCTCCACCCTCTCCCTAAAGCTCTGGCTATCCCTTCCACACCACCAAATTCACCATCTCATTCACCTTGCCTTTCTCCTTTGCCCTTTGAGCCTCGAGTACATCCCTCTGAAAATTTTTTGGCCTCCCGACCAGCTGAAACATTCCTCCAGGAGATGTATGGCTTGAGACCTTCCCGGAACCCTCCTGATGTTAGCCAGTTGAAGATGAGCTTAGTGGACAGGCTGAAAAGATTGGGGATAGCCAGAGTGGTCAAGACCCCTGACGCCCAGGAGAATGGAAGAAGCCAAGAGGCAGAAATTGGTCTTCAGAAACCAGATTCTGCTGTTTATTTAAATTCAAGTAGCAGTTTATTGGGTGGATTGAGGAGGAATCAGAGCCTTCCAGCTATGATGGGTAGCTTTGGCACCCCGGTTTGCACATCCTTACCTAAAATGGGTATCCTGAAGGAGGACTGAGGCTCAGTAGTTAGCTGACCTCGTGTACAAATCAGCACATGCAGGATAGATATGCACTGATACATGTGGTCTGGTCTGACTCGAGAGAAAAGGAATGTTGCAGAAGGGTCGTGAGGGTGGAAAAGAGGAAGTAAGTGGGGAAATGGAAACATAATTGGGATGAGGCTCCAATGGATGCAGTTTGGTAAATTGACAGTATAAATGAATGGGTGGGCTGTGAGTGTTTGGAGGCAGAAAAGGAAGAAAGGTTTAATACACTCCTTCAGTTGAGTTTTCTTGTCTTAAAAATAAAAAGTGAGTAGAAAATAAGTTTAGGTATATTGAAACAGAAATACTGAAGTTGCTGGCACACTTACTTCTGACAAACATAAGCAAGGAGAACCCAGGTTAGAAAGATGGGAAGAGGAAAGGAGTAGCTTTGACTGTTGCTTATAGAAAGCTGTTCTGAAGGTTGGGAGGGTAAGCTTAATCTGTTACCGAGACAGTAGTGAGATGCCTTATATATTTCCCCTGTTAATGTTTGGTTAAATTATGTATCCATCAAATGGTATGCTCATAGCATTAGCAAAACGAACAGTTTTATCATTGTCATTAGGTCATAAGTGGAGACTCTCTTTTTCCTTTCTGTTCTCAGGCCTTTGAGCCATTGGGAGCCCAAATATCACTCAAATTCTTTTGTATTTATGATTAATAAAAATTCATTTTTTTAATTTGTATTTTTATACAACATACCCAAAAAACAATGTGGGTAGAGGGTGGGAGGGATTTACTTTAAGAAGGAAGATATGGGTAAATTGGAACCAAGGAAATTTGTTTTTAGAATATTTCTTCTGGATAATGCAGTAGCCAAGGAATACAAACAGAAGTGCATGTCTTTCAAATTTCACTGGAGGCTGGAAGGAGATGTGTAATCAATAGGAATTAGGAATGTTGTATATTTATATGTGTAAAAAAAATTTTTAAGGAAAGTTTGTTGCAACTAACTTTTTCCAAAGTATGCTATGCATATTTTTAATGAAAGATGACATGTATTTGCACAAAAATTCTCAGGCACATTAAATTATTATAAATTGAAGTAAAACCCAGGTGCTTGCTTTGAGATTGTGTGATATGTTTTCCTAATGTAAAATAAAATTGAAAAATATCTGCCTTGTTCTTAATATCCATAGAATTAGAGAGTGAACTTTTTAATAGAGTCAGAGCTTTTCTTTTTCTTTCTGGGTTCTCTCCCTCCCCCCCCCCCCCCCCC